GTTTCGGGAATTCCATTCCTCATCAGTAACCCTGAACACAAGTTAACCAAAGAAAGATAAGCTGGATCTATATCACAGTGAATAGTATCAAACATACCGTTGGTGTGAACGTGCTTTGTAGTCATTATGGAGAAAACCTCTACACTGGATTACTAAGTTTATTTATTATATCTGCTATTGTGCGGCTATGTAATGTGAAGAACTGAATAGTGGCCAATGACACTTTTTTTTCATTTCACCAATCCAATGTACAGGTTTTTCTCATGGTGACTACAAAGCACGTTCACACCAACAGTATGTTTGCGTGTAGCACTAATGTAACAGTTCAGTGAGTCGATTTTCAAGAATTAAACTCTGTTTACCTAAATAAGGAAGACATTAATATAGGGGGCATTTAGATAGAGTCATCCGTTTAGTATTCCAAAGATATTGAGTTTCTCATTCAAAAAAACGCGAGTGTTGGTTTTGAGACAAAGGCCGAGATAACCATTCATTTTCTGAAGAATAAGATGTAAAAAGTTTATTTCATTGTGTAGACTGTGGAGTGAGGGAAGGAAAATAAATTTTAGAAGCTCCAGTTAGTAAACAGGTGATCAGGTTACGTTTGTAGTTTAGAAGGAGATAAACTATTGAAGCGGGTGTAGACGCCAATGACGTTTTTCTTACGGTAAGTAGACGTAGAAAAACCGTTAGCTTCACGGTTTATAAGGATGTCTAGGATTGTTTGTTTGTTATGGATTATCGCGCAAAGCTACACGAGGGCTATCTGCGCTAGCCGTCCCTAATTTAGCAGTGTAAGACTAGAGGGAAGGCAGCTAGTCATCACCACCCACCGCCAACTCTTGGGCTACTATTTTACCAACGAATAGTGGGATTGATCGCCACATTATAACGCCCCCACGGCTGAAAGGGCGAGTATGTTTGGTGTGACGGGGATTCGAACCCTAACCACCTGACCATGCCGGGCAGGATGTCTAGGAAAGATAGACCGTAGTTTCATAAGTGAAATTTATGTAGGAGTGACAAGAGTTTAAATAGTTTAGAAATCTGAGTTCATGATCTTTAGAATGAAATATAACAAAAGTATCGTCAACGTACCTTCTGCAGTGAACGAGTATGAATTCAACTGGACAGTTGTGAAGCCATGATTGTTCTTTACGTGTAAAAAACACAAAAACCGGTCGTTTTTTGGCACAATATAAGGTACGATTAGTTTCGGTAACATACTAACCCTGATAATGATAACAGTCTTATCAAAACTAGTCGGCTGTAACTAATAATATAGATTTTTCTGTAACTGATAATAAAGATCTTACATTTTGCTATGCCAAAAGAAAACGTCGAATTTTGTGTTGTTGTTGTTTTTGAAGTAAAGCACAAAGCTACACAATGGGCTATCTGTGCTCTGCCCACCACGGGTATCGAAACCCGGATTCTAGCGTTGTAAGTCCGCAGACATACCGCTGTGCTACTGGGGGGCCGAATTTTGTGTTTTTCTACTCTTAATATGGTAGCATAATACGCTTTAAAAGAAATTACCGTGGTTGTTCGTTGCGACAGAGATGGCGTTAGCTAAGGTCCAGCCGAGGGCTGATTCCCCACAGACCGTTGATTGTTTGTTGTGACACAGAAGGCGTTAGCTAAAGTCGAGTCGAGGGGTGTTCCCCCACAGCAACCCGTGATTGTTTGTTGTGACACAGAAGGCGTTAGCTAAGATCGAACCGAGGGGTGATCCCCCACAGCAACCCGTGATTATTTGTTGTGGCACAGAAGGCGTTAGCTAAGGTCGAGCCGAGGGGTGTTCCCCCACAGCAACCCGTGATTGTTTGTTGTGACACAGAAGGCGTTATTTAAGGTCGATCCGAGGGGGTGATCCCCTACAGCAACGCCATCAATTCGGGCCAAAAATAATCATTGATCAGAAAGTCACTTTCGGTGATAGATGCTCCGAGCAAGGAGTTATTTAAGTTGTTGAGTATTGAAACCATTTACTAGCTGCAAATCATTTTTGAAAAGATTAGATTAGAGACAGATTTTGATTGGTTCATTAACGGGATTGTTGGTAAAAAAGTGAAGTTCTATTAAAGTTAGCCATATAGTAAACTACTTGGACACGAAGCGAGATGACGTAATTAACGAAAGAGAATGAGTAGTCAACTCTTAAAGTTGTTGGCAAGTGGTTGGAGTAAGGAGATTGGAAGAAAGTATAGGCCTAGTGTGTATATTTGATTTGTTTACTGTAAAAAAAGCCACATAATATACCGGCTCAGAAGCCACAAAGGTAAATTTAATCAAAAGTTGTTTAGGAGATAATATTTGACTTAAAGGATGCGTCGAACGTTTAATTCTCGTTGAAGGGTAAAGCTAAGAACTTCTGTGTTAAGTGGTCTAAATTTAGAGGTCAGGTCTTGTTTCTGTAATATCGTTTTTTATCTATAAGAGCAATTACATCACCTTTGTCAAGACGGGTTACAATGATGTCAGCATTGTTTCCAAGTTCCTTCTGGTACATGCGCGCGCAGCACAGAGTTTGTCGGAGGAATCAGCAGACGTGAGTTTGGAGGAGGGGAAGTTGTATAATGTGGACAGGGCTATTTTTCTTTTGTTAACTTTTGTTAATAGTTAATTGGATTTCTAAAGGCTGAATGCTCAAGATTTAAAGGTTTCTTGGGCATCCCGTGAGCTTATTCAAAAGAGACAGGATGATCGGTATATATGTGTGTGTTTGATAGTTCGGAAACAAGATGGGATTAAGAACTTTGGCAAGAGCTCGTTTACACGTCTCGCTGAGGAAGACAGATCTATAATTAAAAATGACTTTACCAAAATCAGAATCATAGTAACACCTGAAGTATTGTGTCTTCTTTGTTTGGTGTTCCGGAAAGTGACTTTACCAAGATCAAAATCGTAGTAACACCTGAAGTATTGAGTCTTATTTGTTTGGTGTTCCGGAAAGTGACTTTACCAAGATCAAAATCGTAGTAACACCTGAAGTATTGAGTCTTATTTGTTTGGTATTCCGGAAAGTGACTTTACCAAGATCAAAATCGTAGTAACATCTGAAGTATTGAGTCTTATTTGTTTGGTGTTCCGGAAAGTGACTTTACCAGGATGAAAGCACATTCCTGTGGGAGCCCCAAGTTCTGATGTTAAGACCCATAAAATCACCATCAGAGAACCTTATGTCAGGAATAAGATGAAGAAAGGAACGTGAGATAAGAA